TAGTCATAAATTAACTGTTTGCCGCCTACATCTGTTTACTGAGCCTGTCTGCATTGTTCGCTCCTTCTGATCCAAGCGTGGGAGTAAGTGAGAAACTCACCGTAATGTCCGTCCTGGGTCCCGAGGTCCTGAGCTGGTGTGCCTATGCTCTCCACTTTCAGTCTACTTTCGTTTATTTTATACAGACTATTTCGAATTTTTCCTTGTACCTATTAGGCATAATATGGGAAAAAAGCATCCATTCCATCTTTCTGAAACAGAAGATTAACTCATAGCATATGTATCTTCTTGAAAAGCATATGTATATGTCATAATATATATACGTCATACCTATGTACATCTGTCATGAAAAGAATCAGTATTTGATTGCATGTACAAGTGAACACTCACTGTATACACATGACCCGTGACACACACACAAGTGCATGCACATGTACACATTATAAGAAAGTCTACTGAAGGATGGACAGTCTCCTCCTGTGTGACTTACTGACCTGCTGGACAGTCAGCTGTGAGTTAGTTCTGACTCGACAGCACACAACAACAACAACAACTGCAGAATACAGTGTATACTGATTGCATTGGAGGAAGTAAAAATGAACTGTCAGACCGGGCTGCTTTTAAACCAGCACATGGTGCAGAAATTGTATCTAAATTGCTACCTGTGACATTCTAGATCTGAAATGATGCTTTGGCAGAGAAAGCAAACGAAATAGAATCCATCAGATATTCTTGAATTCGTGTTCACCATTTTTCATTGACATACAAGTAATCATACCATATGAGTATTTACCACAGTAAAAAGAAAGAAAGGGTGTTACATAAAGGCTTAAGAAATAGATGTGAAATTTTGAATATTATGTGGAAGATTCTGGTTGAATATACAATATCCTTATATCACTTATTACCTTAAAGTCAGAGCCAACCCACAACTGACTCTCAGGGTTGGGGGTTGGGGGTTGGGGCGTCTCTGAGGTTGTAAGTCACATGGCAGGAGATTCTCCGTCTTTCCTGTGGAGACACTGGTAGATTCAAACCACTAGCAAAGCTCTGTCTTTGCATTTCTCGCTCAGCTCCTTGAGAACCACCCCAGCAGCATCCCTGACAGAACACAGCACATGTGAAGACTGAACCCCTCCATGCAGTCCCTTACATCGAGAACGTCATGTTTGTTTGAGGACTGAAGGACCTTCAGGGCCCCTGGTTTGCTTTCAGCTATGATGACTCAGAGGCAGAAACAGAACCTGGAGCGTGTGTTTGATAAATACTTCTTGGTGACAATGAAAGACATCCTGTGAATAGAAGGTGTCTTTATGCCCCTGTAAATCCTTGAGATGATTGAGACTCAAAAGATTAAATGTCATTGTTGTTGCTAGCTATCATTGAAATGCAGGTAGCTAAAGAACGCAATAGAATTTCTCTTCGTCTCTCTCTGTTCTTTTCCTTTGTTATTTGACATTTACTAATCCTGGAGAATCATTTTCTTCCCCCACTCATCCACCAGTTTGTCATAATGTAGTGTCTTGTGAGGTGCGATGATGCTGGAAGCTGTGCCAACAGTATTTCAAATATCAGCATGCTCACCCGTGTAGAATAAGATAGACTTGGAACAAAGACCTAGATCTCTACTTCTGGAGGAAATGGCCTGTGAGAGGCTTGTGTGTAGCAGTGGAACATTGAGATAGTGCCAGAGAAGGCCCTCAGAACACAGCGGGGGAGAGCTACATCTCAGAGGAGGGGGTAATGATGTGGACGCAGTCCAGGTGTTGGGATCCTCATGTGCTGATGTGCGTGGCTCAAACGGATCAAAAATAACCACCAACATCCATTATTAATCAGAACACGAAATACATGTATGTCATACTGTAGACAGGTATGAATCAAGGAAAATTAGAAGTTGTAAAAAATTTAATTCATAAAGATTGGCATTTTAGACCTACTTTGAATTGAATAATCATATGGCCTCCTATAGCAGAATTGACCACCAAAAGAGGAATGGCATCGAATTCATCAGAAATCACCTTTCAAGACCTAGGATGGAAAGTAATGTTGTCAGAGGAAAAGACAACGTCCATGCGAACACCAGAATACCAGTTAATATGATTACTGTTCAGATTTGCATGGCAATCACTAACGCCAAAAACAAAGAAATTAAAGATTTTTGCTAACTCCTGCTGCCTGAAATTGGTCAAATATGTAATTGAGATGTACTGATAATTACTTGTAATTGAAATGTTAAGTTGAAAACAAAGGTGAATTAGTTGGAAAATAAGGCCTTGGTGATGGCAACAACTCCAGGGACTGAATTTTGCAAGACCAACAGCCTCTTTGTTTTAAATACCATTTTTTCAACTGCATAAAAGGCATCTTATGCATGTGGACCTCACTGGGTGGGGTGCACAGGATTAAAGCAGGATCCATAAATGTAAAGTGTCAATGAAGGTTTTCTTTCTACCATGTTTTTGATGCACACATGAATATAATCTTTAGAAGGCCCCATTCATTAATTTAATCCTCTTTAGATTGTGCATTTCTGGTTATATTTGGCAGTCTCTTTGTATCTTGGACTAGCACTTCTAAGCTTGATCTCAGTTTGTCTCTTATGAACGTTGTGGTCTTGGGCTTTACTCCCAGATCTCTGATTCACCTCAGTTGATTTTTGTGTATACTGTGAGATGTGGTTCCTGTTTCAGCTTTCTGCAGGTGGAAGTCCAGTTTTACCAGCACCATTTGTTGAAGAGGTTGTCATTTCCGCATTTGATAGCTTTGGTTTTCTTATTGTTGTTGTTAGGTGCCATCGTGTCAAGTATGACCCGTAACAAGTCTGTGAACGACAGATCTGAACCCCATCCTGTCCTGCGCCATCCTCACACTTCCTGACATACCAGGCCCATTGCAACAGTCACTGTGTCAATCCACCTGGTTGAGGGTCTGCCTCTCCTCTGCTGACAAATATCATGTCCTTCTCCAAGAACTAGCTTCTGCTAGCAACATGCCCAAAGTATGTGAGATGAAGCTTTAACAACTTTGCCTCAAAAGAGCATTCTGGCTGCACCCTCTCCAAGACATTCAGTGTCTTCTCCAACAATATAGCTCAAAGGCGTCAATTCTTCTTCTGTCATCCTCATTCACTGTCCAGCTCTCAGATGCACAGCAAGTGATTGGAAAGACAATGGCCTGAATCAGACGCACCTTAGTCCTCAAACCAACATGATTACTCCTCAATAATGTGGACATGTCCCTGACTGCAGACTTTCCCAGTGCAATACATCTCCTGATTTCCTGACTGCTGGTACCAAGGATGTTAATTGTGGATCCAAATCAGATGAAGTTGTTGACAGTTGCAATCTTTTCTCCATCTATCATGATGTTGCCTATCATATTGCCACTGGTAAGAATCTTTGTTTTCTTGGCAGTGAGGTGCAATCCATATTGAAGACTGTTCCTTGATCTTCTACAAGTGCTTCAAGTCCTCCTCACTTTCAGCAGCCAATCTTAGTTACAGCTTTTTAAAACAAGGTGCTTGTAGGCTCTCTTGACTTCCATAAGGCATATTTTTGGTGACCTTTTTTTCTCTCTAACTGGTATACCTACATCCTGGATTGTTCCAAGCTCTTGGACCACTATACTACCAAAGACCCTTAAGGGTCCAGTGACAGAAAGCAATGGGCTGGGAAAATAGTGAATGACACAATGGGTTAGTGGGGAAATATTGAACGGTATGAGGATGGTGAAAATGAAATAGAGGTGATACACATAATCACTGAACCAAAAAGCAGTCACAAGCAAACCCCTGTGGGCTCTAGGAGGCAGAGACAGGTGTGTGAATGCGTAGACCCAGCCCCCACGTGTGGATGGGTGACAGACCTCTTCCCCGTCACCCCAAGACTCTGAGATGAATTTTGGTGCACGCAGCAGCTTTTACTAACCAGCAGAACTGACTTACGTGCTGTTGTTGTTGTTATGTGTGTCCAGTGCATTCTGACTCATGACAGTTCTGCAGAACAGAGCAGAAATCCGACTCCTAGAGTTCCACGTGACAGAGCGGAATTCTGACTCATGGAAGAGGACGTACCAGACAAGCTCATGGCTGGTTCTTCACTGTCATTGGCAGAAGCCAATCACAGTCTTTCTCTGGAAGAGCAGCTGGTTGAGTTTGAATCCTTGATCTTCAGGTTAACAGCCCTATGCTTAACTATTGCATCAACAAGACTTCTTAGAAATGGAACTGTTTTAAGTATGTAGGGGTGAGCTCTGCTGTGCTGCTAACCTGAAGGCATGCAGTTCAAATCCACCAGCTGCTCACAGGGAAGAGATGCACAATCTCCTCCCAAGCAGTCCACGACCTCTGAAAATCCCCTGGAGGGTCAGCAATGAGTTGCTTCCAACTTGATGAGATGCAACTACAGCCACCAGTCTGTCTGAGGAAACCGAGGCACAATGATGGAAGCAGTGGTTGAGGGTGTCACCACCATTCCTGATGGCTTGCGCATGCGTTACGAGGCTGTAGGCATTGGCTACCACACACTGTCTTACCTCTAACTCTTCCTGCTCCCCACTTGTCCCCTAACCCGCTCAGCTTACTGCCCATAAGCCCAAGACGTGCTCACTCAGTGAACCATCCACGGTTCCTGCCATTTGCTGTCCATGAATATCAGTGCTGGAGACTTCAGCTCAGAAGTGACCCACTTCCCAAGTGTAATTAAACTCAGGAGTAAAAAGGTTCAGTTGCTTTGGAAATTAAGCCCCTATGGGAAAACTTAAACTAGTCATTAAAGAATAATTTGGTTCTTAAATCACTGAATTATTTACTAACTTACTGAATTTGTGATTACATTATACTAATTTAAGAATTAATGATTTAATTCCCAGTAAAGGGGTGCCTGTTTTAGCACAGAACCCTGCATTTCTGGTTTTGAGGGTTTTTTTATGTTGAAATGTTTGGTTTCTCAGTCATCAGGGACCACCCTTCTCCATCCCTACCCACTATCACAACATAGAAGTTGCAAAAAAAAAATGTCAAAGAGAAATTTCTGTCTTTGGTGATACAATTTATATAATTTAATATAATTTGTCAGTTATAAAATAGCTCATTTTAACTTTTTCTGGCTGTGTTTAGTGAGTCAATAATATTTTCTTTATGTTCTTGCCATTTAATTTTCTCTTGCTCTGAACTATCTGTTCTTACACGTTGCCTATTTTTATTTTTATTAAGTTATATTTGCTGTGTTTTCTTGTTGAGAACCACATGGTGGTTTTGATTAAATGAAGAGCTATATTTGAACATCATTGAGAACTGATGCATAGTATCTTAGTTATTCAGCACCACTGTGATAGAAATAACTCAAGTGGATGAACTGAACAGTCTCTCTGTGTTTAGGAGACTGGTGGTCTGAACTCCAGGAAGCTTGCTTTGTCTGTTGACTCACAGTGTAGGAAGAGGGTCCTTGTCTCCTGGGAACACCCCGGGAGAGTCCCAGGTGTTTACACATCAGTCTGCTCTTGAGTCTAGGTGGTTGCTAGCATATGGACTCTGGGGCCAAAGGACATGCTCCACTTCTGGCTCTTCTTCCTTTTTTTTAAATTATTATTATTGTTGTTGTTGGTTTGCTCACAAGGTTCGTATACATTGTTTTTCACACTATTCTTCATTCCCATTGTGTTTCATACAATCATTCTCATGCATTATGTTTTATAAACTTAATCACCATGGGACCTTGCCCATCATTGCCCTGTCTTTTCACCCAGACCTTTCCATTTCCTTCCCCTCCCTCTTCCACCCACCAAGCTGTGCTGCCCTGTGATTTTGCACCTGCGCACCCTCCCCCCTTCACCCTTCACTTCTTGCTCCTTTCTCTGTCCTTGAAAGAAAAGGTGATGTGGGCCAAACTCATGGAAACTCCCCTTACATGAGGACTGTTACCTGTTGAAGGAAGTTTCATCCCCCTAATCTTCCTACAACTGTCTAGTTACAGGTCACATTATGGGAATGATTGTGTAATACTGAAAACTGTGACCTCACCATGCAGACATGTATTTTGGGGGACATGATCCATAACAGATAAGAACTAGTAGAAAAGGGTGAACCTACAAATTCAGATATTCTTAAGGGACACAAACAGTAGTAACCCTCAGAGACATGGTTGAAAATACCTTATCTGAGTGATATCTTTTTTTAAATATTTCTTTTTAATTTGTTGTACCATCAAACTGGATCCAACTGGCACAGGAAGAGTTTGCCTGCCTTCTCCAGAGGAACATCCGGTGGATTCAAACTGCGCGCTTTCGGGATTGCAGTGCAGCTCTTGCCACTAGGCCACCAGAGCTCCCTGTCTGAGTGATATCTGAATGTTCACACCATGGAAGTCATTCTGTCGCAAGGGAGGGAATTGAGAGACACCCAGGCCGATGGCCTGTGTCCACCAGCCTTTACTGTGGCATCACAAAGCATCACAATTTTATCTAAATTTTTGAACAGTGAATAGTTGAAAGTGCCTCAGAACTTCAGTAGTGAGTGTGAGACATTGAGACACTAACTTACTGTCAGTATATACACTGTAACCCCATATATCAACCCCGTATCAGGGGCAAAGGTCAGAGTCATGAACTAGAAATGAGACATTTCACCTTGGACATTTTCTAGGGATGGACACAACAGGTGTGTTAGCTGTAAAGTGATATGTGTGTCCCTGAGAAACCATGGGCTGTGCAAAATCATCTGCTGAGAACGGCGGGGATTTAAAGAATACAGGACTGAGACGACACAGTCAGAACCTTCCAACCACCCAGAGCGATAGAAGCCCAGATAGGATCCTCACGTGGAAAAGGCAAGGTAGACGCTGCCCCAGATGCAGACGTGAGGATAAAGATGGCCAGGAAGGAGTGAGGTGGCTGAGCCACACGGCTGAGAGCGGGGCGGGGGTGGTCCCCGAGGCTGTGCGGGGGATGCCAGATGCCGGCCCCAGCCACTGGGCTTCTCTCTGAGGGGATGCAGAGACACCAGTGCATGGCTTTCCTGGGGGGACGCAGGGGTGCCAGTGAGTGGGCTTCACCCAGTGAGTGGGCTTCACCCATGAGTGGGCTTCGCCTGGTGAGTGGCCTTCTCTCTGAGAGGATACAGAGACGCCAGTGCGTGGCTTTCCTGCGGGGACACAAGGGTGCCAGTGAGTTGCCTTCACCAGGTTCTCTTACTCATTTCCTTTGCTCAAGGATCCAGGTGAATTGGGTGGTATGGACAAGCAGGTGGCCGAGCAGGTCCAGGTGGAAGCCGTGTGGGCTCGATTGTGTTAGGTTGTCCTAAAAGCCCTGTGTTCTCAATTCCTGTGATAGGACATGGCAGCTAAAAGCTCTCGCGTGCTAGAGAAGCCTGCCCAATTACAACTCTTCATTACGTTCACATCTCCGATTCCCAGGGCTGCTGTGTGAAGACATCACAGGGAGGTGACCTTAAAGGACAGGAATGCATTTTCTCCCAAATCAGGAGGGAGCTCTGGTGACCCGGTGGTAAGGAGCTGTGCTGCCAACCCTGAGGCATATGGTTCGAATCCATCAGTTGCCCCAGGACAGTAAGGGCAGCCTCCTCCCGTGTGATTCACTGGCTCTGAACACCTGGAGCATCAGCCAAGGGTCAGTTATGGCTCAGTGGTGCACAACACCCCACAGATCAGGAGGGAGAGGCCCCTCTCAGGGGAGCCCCTGCCTCAGCCTCTCCGCCCCCAGCACACCTCAGTTCCTGCTGTCTCCACGTAGCATCTGCCTTTCTCCCATCTGTGCTCATGTTCTATCACTCAGCACTAACCAGGTTGAGGGCGTGCCGTTCCCCGTGGCGGCCTCACTCACGTCACCTGATAGGGTGCTGTCTCTAGAGATGAGGGTCAGGGGCTCCAGCACACATTCAGCCAATAGCTCACTGCCCTCAGCAGTTCTGGGTTCATTTCCTACAGAACTGTGCACTGTGGGTGACCGACTGGGCTGTGTCACCAGCAGCAGGCAAGCTTCTGGGCTGGGTGACGAGTGCCAGGCACGCAGCACCTTCTGTGGCTCCCAAAAGGAACAGCTGCCCCCAAACCACCCTGGCAGCGTACCCCGCATGCCAAGGCCTGCTTTCACACTGTCTTGATGAAGGTTCTCTTCTGAGTGGGAGGAATATTTAAAAGTACTGCTATTTGAGGTCTAATTGGATTTGTCCTAATGATTTGGGGGCTGAGCTGTTCTTTTTCCAGATATGAAGCTCATCTCTGGTGCAAAATCAAGTCCTACTCCTCAAATGACAGTGATAGTGGGAGTCAATTCCTTTCTTTAAGATGAAGTTGGTATCCAGAGTTGTATTTAAGTTTTTCTGAAGAAGGTAGTCCAAAAAATCGAAAGTGCTTTAATGAAACAAATGCTTGTACGATATGCCAGACAATTCTAGTTCGTGGTCAGCTTCACACTCTTCTCTTGTCTCCCATTCCCCTTTTGCTGGTTCTTGATTGTAAAGTCGAAAGGTGCACAGAGGGTCAGCTGAGCTGCAGGAGGAGTGCTGGAAGGTGCCAGTGTCTCTGAAATAGGTTGAAGGGAGGAAGCTCAGCTTTACATTCTTCTGAATAAAACCCTGGTTCTCTGACCTCATACTCTGGGTGCCACGCTTACTGCTTCCCATTCTTTCCATGAAAACCACAATCATTTGAACGACTGACAGAAAGATTTCAGAAAAAGAAGGAGAGGGGAAGATGTTTTCAGTGATTTAGGCCTTAGAAGTCATGACTCATGGCCTGCCGACCTGTGGCCTCTGTGTCATATGACAGGAAGGGGCCTCGTCACTGAGCGAACCAGGCTGTGGTCCGGCTGTCTCTGGTCTTCAGGGGCAGCGAGGTGAGATCCAGTCCATACTCAGTCAAGTGCGTGTGTTTGCAGTTCCAAACAGAATCACAGCCAAAGGTCCTTGAGCCCTGTGTCAAGAAAGACGATGGAGGAGAATAAAGATAGCATCTCCCAAGGGAGAAATGGGTCATATCATTTGGAAGCAGGAGAGACATCCACTTCCTAAACCACGTGCCTCCGGAAACTCTATGGACTTTGATAAAAACAATAGTTATAGAAAGGCTTCAGGACTTTTGTTCATAGGGTCGTTACGAGTCGTGCTCTACTCGACAGCAATCAGTAACAACAATGTGACATAAGTGGCCTAGTGGGCCAGGAGTTGAGCTGCCATCCCAAAGGTGGGTGGTTCAGATGCACCATCTGCTCCTCAGGGGAGAGTTGCGTAATTTCCTTCTGTGCCATTCACGGCGTCTGAAAACCCGCTGGACGGTCAGCTGGCACCCAGCAGGACGACGTGAGGTGGTGCTCGTGCTGACGGATGGGAGCCCCTGCGGAAGAGAAGTGCTCTTGGGGTTTCTTGCTGGACCTTTGATGATGTAAACAACTAAGTCCTTGGCTGCTAATGAGAAGGTCGTGGGTTTGATCCCAGAGAGCAGCTCTGCAGAACATCTGGCGATGGGCTTCTGTAAAGATTCCCACCACTGAGAACCTCACGGGGTTTCCAAGTCTGTCAGTCTTTCCATCTTTCTCCTTCAGAGCAGCTGGTGGATTTGAACTTTTGGCCTTACAGTAAGCACAGCACGTAATGCATGAAGCCACCAGAGCACCTTCTCATGAGATTACAGCCTGGGAAGTGCTGTGGGGCTGTTCTGCCTGTCACGTCAAGTCGCTCGGAGTCAAAATCGACTCCCTGACCCTAGTAACATTCTCAGTGGAAACACGGGCAGGCCTGTTCTTGTGTGAGCTCAAAGTGAGGGCCATTGTGCCTGGCAGGGACTGGGAGGTAGAGCACATCCCCACATGTGTCCAGTCGTCCCCATAATAAAATGAGTAGTTCTGTAAACAAGACCACGTTGTTGGTGTGTGTGGAACCGACACATCGCTGGCCTTCCAGCCATTTCAGAGGCCGCGAGTCACGCGGGAGATCGCCTGTCCTCCCACTAAGCAGCTGGTGGATACGAACGGTCAGCTTGGGATTGCAGCGCAGCTTCTTACC